AGGAAGCGCAAGAGACACAGCACAGACATACATAAAGGAAGCGCAAGAGACGCAGCACAGACATACATAAAGGAAGCGCAAGAGACACAGCACAGACATACATAAAGGAAGCGCAAGAGACACAGCACAGACATACATAAAGGAAGCGCGAGAGACGCAGCACAGACACATACATAAAGGAAAAAGATGGAGCACAGACATATACATAAAGGGAGAGAGATGCAGCACAGACATATAAATAAAGGAAAAAGATTGAGTGCAGACATATGCATAAAGGCAGAAAGATGCAGCGCAGATGTATACATAAAGGAAAGAGAGATTGAGCACAGACAAATACATAAAGGAAGAGAGAGAGAGACATGGTGCAGACATATGCATAAAGCAAGAGAGATAGATGCAGCACAGACACATACATAAAGGAAGAGACAGATGGAGCACAGACACATACATAAAGGAAGCGAGAGAGACGCAGCACAGACAAATACATAAAGGAAGACAGATAGAGCACAGACAAAGGAAGCGAGAGAGATGCAGCGCAGACATATACACAAAGGAAACGAGAGACGCAGCACAAACATACATAAAGGAAGCGAGAGAGATGCAGTGCAGACATATACATAAAGGAAGAAAAAGAAAGACGCAGTGCAGACATATGCATAAAGGACAAGAGATAGACACAGCACAGACATATACATAAAGGAAGAGAGAGACACGGTGCAGACATATGCATAACGGAAGAGAGAGAGATGCAGCATAGACATATACATAAAGGAAGAGAGAGAGAGAGAGACACGGTGCAGACATATGCATAAAGGAAGAGAGAGAGATGCAGCATAGACAAATACATAAAGGAAGAAAGAGACACGGCGCAGACATATGCATAAAGGAAGAGAGATAGATGCAGCGCAGACATATACATAAAGAAAGAGTGATGAAATGCAGACATATACATAAAGGAAGAGAGCCATGCAGTGCAGACGTATACATAAAGGAAGAGAGCCATGCAGTGCAGATGTACACATAAAGGAAGAGAGCCATGCAGTGCAGATGTACACATAAAGGAAGAGAGCCATGCAGTGCAGA